TTTCTGTTTGAAATGTTTTTATAGGATATCTCATCTAAAAGGGTGTCTCTGAACAATATCTTTGACTTAAAATGTTTCAAATATTCAAAATAAAATAAATTCAGTTCATGAAATGTGCCAGTTTTATGAGTAATAATATATGGTTATATCGAATTTTAACGAATTTTCTTTTCAATGTTTCCATGTGTCCAAAATATCACAAATCCAGTTTGTTATCTCAAAAGAAAGAAAATGGAGCATAAAACATCAGTCATACAGAATAACAAGTTTCGAATTTCAAACATATCAAAATCCAATATAGCAAAGAAAATCATGTTATTGGACCATTGAAAATACAGAAGATTAAAGACTTTTGAAAGCCTAAAGATGCTTTAACGTAAAACACACTAAAGATGGCAGTTGTTTAGATCTGAATGTATGGAACTCACAAGACGTTAACGACACCCGAATATTAGTAAACTGTGCAGTTTCATCCCAGTATGTCGTGTTTGCTGTTAGAAATTACACGTTGTGGTTGTACGACATGGTGATCGTATTCGATGCGTAAAATTGTCATTGTAAGTCATTGTTCTGGGTGGATATCTTGTACATAGAACGAAATTCAAAAGGGAGACTTCTCCCAAATATCTCAAACTTAAAGATGGCCGGAAGAGTATACTCCACAACAACGAACTTGCTCACCTGGTCCTGGATGTTTCTTGTGATGCTTGCTACGTTCATCTAACTCCAGTTGCCCTATACGAAATGAGTCTGGTGGTACGGCGGACTGTGCTTTTTGTGTGGTTGTGGTCAGCACCAGTCTAATGTGTCGTGAAAGGCTGTTTAAAATTAGGCTTAATCTGATCCTTGACCCTGCCTTGAACTACGCCTAAGTTTATCAACATATTGATGGTCTAGTCTAGCACAGTAACTTCAAACGTAGAAGAAACAAGATATACCCCATATGAAATTCGTAGAGTTTTTGTTTTTCTGTATATGTATTATATGTGCTCATGAAACCATTGAACTGCAACGATGACATGATCGAGGCGAGCATATATCAGATGTGACGTCTTGTGACTAGGTTAACAGTGTATTGTATGCAGCATACAGTATCACACGTATGACAGTCGGGTTAAATAACGTTTATCATCGTTATGATCATTGGGGCGATATTAAAACATTTATTGATGTCCGATGTTTGTGTGTGGGTCAAGTGGTAGCTGTATATGTAGGTTTTTGTCGGTGCATCATCTTGACGGTCGCTGCATGTGTCAGACAGAGGGTCATCGTTGTATGTGCCAGATGGTCGCCGATACATATATCAGATGGTCACCAATCGATTTGTCAGACGGTCACCGATACATATGTAAGATGGTCGTCGATCGATATGTAAGATGGTCGCCGATGCATGTGTCAGATGGTCACCGGTCGATATGTCCGATGGTCACCGGTCGATATGTCCGATGGTCACCGATACATGTCAGACGGTCACCGATGCATGTCAGACGGTCACCGATACATATGTCAGATGGTCACCAATACATATGTCAGAAGGTCACCAATCAATTTGTCAGACGGTCACCGATTCATATGTCAGATGGTCGTCGATCGATGTGTAAGATGGTCGCCGATGCATGTGTCAGATGGTCACCGATACATATGTCAGATGGTCAACGGTCGATATGTCAGATGGTCACCGATACATGTCAGACGGTCACCGATACATATACAGATGGTCACCGGTCGATATGTCAGATGGTCACCGATACATATGTCAGTTGGTCGTCCAAGCATCGACAGTTGCTGTTGATGTTAATTTTGTTGGGGTTATTTTTGTTTTGTTTTGTTTGTGTTTTATTTGTATTTTGGTGGGTTTTGTGTGTGTGTTTGTTTTTTTGTTTTTTTGTTGTTGTTTTTTTTTGGGGGGGTGTGTGTTGTGTTGTGTTGTGTTGTGTTGTTGTTGATGTTTTGTTTTGTTTTTTTGGGGGGTGTAAATAAGAGGATCTTCTTCATGGTCGTCATAATTCAATCAAATATTGAAACTGACCTTTAATGGTCCCTGAACAAACGTAAATCAGGCTTATGATGAAACCTTCTTGCCAAATAATTCAGGTTTGTCTGATAACTGACACAGGAAAGTTTTCTTATAAACAGGATATTTAAGCTGAAATGGACTTCGCGCAAATCAACGGTCAACATTAATTCCAACAGGTACTTAAAAGGATAAATAGCCTCCCAGGTAATGAAGAGGCCTTCCTAAGATCATCATGGCTGATCCTCCTGCAACCTGACACTGAGTACTCAATATGCTTCATCCGATAGCATGATGGTTAAGTGACAACTTATCTAAATCCACGGAAGTGTCCCCTCATGTTGGTGATAAGTGAACAGTGTAAACATTATGTCCTCACGAATGTTGTCCCTCCTAGAAGGCGGCTCCAGCTTTAGGTCACAAAAGATCTCACATTACAGGTCGTTAGGTTAAGACTACAGGCTAGCTATTCTCGAAACGTTCGTAGCCCTACGATCTTCTTAAGCCCATTCTTAACACATTGGCTACGATCAAAGTTAAGAATTCTTAGGGCTACGAACGTTCCGAGAAAAAGGGCCCTGTATTATTATTTTTTACCTTCAAATCATTCACTTTCTTTTTGTTTTGTAATCCAGCATCCAAATGTTCAGACTGATGTTCAGAATGTCAATCACTGGACTGTCTGGTTCTGACTAGAGTCTTTACCGACCATCATATAGTTTCAACGTGGTTGAGTATGTTTCTGTATATGCACATTACGTGCTCATTACAAATGTGCTCATGATGTTAATAACTAGGTTGATCAGACTTGACTATTTACAGAATGCCAACATCCACTTGAAAAAATACTCAGTGAAGCATGGCCTTGTGCAGTCAGTTTGAAACAGAACCGATACTTACAAATCCAAAATATTACTGACTAAAAAGGTAAAGTGTGTGAGTTCCTGTGGTCCCTTACATCAAATGCATAATACAAGCATTAGTTCAATATAAAGTAGGGGCGGTTGGGTAGCTCAGTGGTTAAAGCGTTCGCTCGTCACGCCGAAGACTCGGGTTCGATTCCCCACATGGGTACAATATGTGAAGCCCATTTCTGGTGTCCCCCGCCGTAATAAAAGGGCGTATAACTAAACTCACATACTCACCCAATCACTAGCAAGTATAATCTATTCTAATAGACAAAGTAAATGACTATGTCGATCACAAAGAGTTTTCGGTGTGCCAAGTCAAAGAAAATCGTTATGTTTGATGCTCCTAAACCCCTTTAACATATTGAATCTGCTGATTAAACGCTGAAATTCTTGAGACGTAATCAGTGGCCCTGTTGACGCAACAACTGATTTACAGTACACACCGTTCATAATATACACTGATATCCCTTCCTTTATCAAACAAATATTGACCAGTTTATCCCGGTATAGTTCAGCAGGTTAACCTCTGTAACTTACGATCAAGCTTTATGGTCGATACTGTACAAATCAAAGCTATATGGCATGTCTAATCTAAATTATTGTCACACGAGATGGCACAATAAATTACAGTGTCGGTATTAGTATGATCCAGATGTAACTTTGCATAAGAATGTGATGGACGTTTCCCAGCCTTAGTTCCGTATAGATGAAATTGACATTTTCAGGAACATAATTCAAATAATTTGCACGATTTCCTGGATTGAAGAACTACTCGAAGCGTCCTGAAAATATTCATATTCTTGAGAAGCCCAATGCAGAGGATTTTCTCCGGCAATGTCAAAACATTTCACATTACATTTTATGACCAGGCTTTGTTTGTGATACTGCATTCATCAATGTGATGTTGAATTACTTTACTAAACGAAAATTACTTTAAAAACATAGTAATTGTAAAATGGCATTTTTATGTGCAAGGAACTTCTGCTGGCAATAAAAATAATAGTGAGAATATTTATAACGCGCCTTTTCCAGGCTAGATATTCTGCTCAAAGCTCACAATCTGATCATTATTACCCCGGATAACCCAAGCTGCCTGTTAGGCGCAAGAAGGTTAATAGTCTCACGACTTATTTTACCGGGTACCCATTTCCTGCTGGGTGAACAGAGGCAATTGTGAACAAACTCACTTGCCTAAGGTGAGACCACATGTATCGCATATGCTTCGTTGTGGGGCAGGACTGAAGTCCTAGAAACTCTCAGGAGTTAAGCTGACAACAAGGTCACCCATCCAAGGACTGTCCGAGCCCAACGTTGCTTAACTTCAACTGATTTGTGACCTGAGCGCTATGCATAGGACCACGTGCCACCAATCATAATGTATCAATGGATGATTGCAATTGGAGGTAAGATAAATGACAGGAGGAGGTTACTTCACATTCTGTACACGCTGAGCTAAATTATCTATCTGTGCAACGTAGTGGGAGCAATACGTAGGAAGTACGACGGCAGGGAAGTTTTGATTCACCATTTTCCACGTTAGCATTTCAAGACATACACGTCTCATTGAAAGAATGAGCCAAGCTAATGTCAAGACACACAATACATTCACTTCCAGAAAACCAATCATGTTCGTTTCACGATATCATAATATTTCGCCCCTACCTCAGTACATCAAGAGGATGATTCCTGTTCCACGTGTCACTTGCAAGGGTTATTTATTTTCTTTCATTTTAATAGCCATCAAAATGAACCCCAAATATGCTCGAATAGAAACCAACCATTGTTTTGACGTTTTATATCACCATGGTCCACAAAGTTCATCTTTATTAAACAAGACGTGAGTTTCCAACATGCACGGGGCGGTGGGGTAGCCTAACGGTTAAAGCGTCCGCTCGTCACGCTGAAGGCCCAAGTTCGACTCCCCACATGGGTACAATGCCCATTTCTGGTGTCCGACGCCGTGATATTGCTGGAATATTGCTAACAGCGGCGTAAAATCATACTCACTCATTCACTCACTCCTACATGCACTTAGATTGAGAAATCTTGAAAATGAACATGACACAGTATGTTCTGTTGTAATGTTTTATCTTTTAATACCTTAAAATGAATACAACACGAAGTGAAATAGCTCCATATTGCATTCGTTTGAGATCAGTTACATGTATATACTTAGTCCCTGATATGGTTAAACAGAACTAGTTTACAAAAATTCAGGTAAGGAGAGAACTTGCAACATTAAAACAACAACACTTGGATTCCGTGCCAAAAGCGACAGGAACACAATCTGGAAGAGTGCATCAGAATGGTGAAGGTCCACATTTTACGTTTTAGCACTGAAACGAGGTTGCGTCTTAGCGAGGAAGGTGAGTCAGCTGACTGCCAAAAGTCCGGTTTCCACCTTTGTCGAACTGTGCTGGAATTTCCTGGCTCGATCCTCGCGCCACTAGTGTCTAGCATGAGGTTTGTTCCTTCTGCGTTCCTCCAACTGACGAAATGCATCCTTTATATCACTTTCACTTGCTCCAGAAGGCGGCGCCCAAACAAGAAGATCTGATCGGTAGTGAAACATGGAAAGATTTGCAATGTATCTGTGGACATCTTGTTGGTGATACACATACTCTGCAGATACTGTACGTGACTGAAATCGCGAAGTTGTTTTGAAATGGATGAATATTTCGATGCACGATTTTGACTGGTACAGACTCTTTAGACCAGCCTACATATATCTCAATGATTCCAGAGTAGTTCCAGCAAGGGTGTTCAAGACTCGGTTATCTCCCTTGTCACGGGAAGATGACGAGATTGATGGTCAAAGGAGTATATATGTACCGACATTGTTCCTTTAAATCCGGGGCTTGTGGTTTGAATAAAGGACAAAAGGTGTGGGTGTGTCGTAAATCCCGCAGTTATAGCGGAGGACATGCCCAGTTATTCTGGCCCAGTCAATATTTCCCATAATATTAAGTCTGGTGTTTGGGTCGGTCTGTAATGGTCGTCTTATTTATAATTTTACAATTATTACATCCAAATGTTAGAACTTCGTTGATTCGATGTCTTTTTCTTTCACCTCGACACGCCTGAAAAAGAGAGATATACGTATAGGCATTTATGTGGAACTTTCCAATCATTTGATAGCCATCAAGTACAACGATGCTGCTCACAAAGAACAAACGTCATAGGAGGATATTAACTATTATCGTATGTAACGGAAATCTTTGCCGACGGTATATTTTCTCCACAACCTGGTGCTGATCTCTGACCGGATAGACGATGTTGCTTCAGGGGTCATGTCTCATAAATTGTTAACTTGATAACTTGATATCTTTTACGTCGTACTTTTCAGAATGCGTCAGAGAAAGGATATAGCGATTTACCAGAAACAACCGCAACAGCATATTTGATCACATCATCTCAACAAGAGTTTAGATAAGTTTTGCTCATGATGTATTCGCCAATGTCAAACAGGACAGGCGATAAAAACATGTTTAGTGCATAAACACGGTCTAATATTTAATAATTTCCTGTCTGCATTTACATCTGACACGGTACAATTGTATTCGGCGTTACCTACTGCCATCACATAATAACATACATGCGAGTTATTGGGCGGTGGGGTGGCTTTGTGGTTAAAGCGTCTGCTCGGGTGGTTACATGTGTGAAGCCCATTTGTGGTGATATTGCCGAGAATGGTGATAAACGATACCCACACACAAAACAGTTACACAACACATCGGATTTGACTTGCCTCATCTATCACATCTTATATCCTTGTGAGAATATATCGTCAGTAATTCACAGACCTTTTTGTACCCCACCCTTGTCTTTCTATGAAAAAGTAGACTTTTTCAAATAATTTGTTTGAGATACATTTAGCGCTCGTGGTTATATTTCCCTTTCGACATGATGTGCTCACAGGAAAGTGAAATTTATTCAGGGATAATGTAGACAATGCAACCTGCTTTTTAAATGGGTGATGTATTTCAAAACACTATCAAAGGCTGCATATTCCTATGCCTGACAAGTATAGAAAATTGAGTTGTTTCGATTTTACAAGTCATACGCATTTGTACAAATGAAAGTAAAATGAGGACATTACTTTATCTATCTCGTATTTTATGAAAATTAAAGTCCTAAACATGTCCGTTGTGATCAAATTATTGGTTTTCCTATAAACTTAAAGTATTTCAAGGTTGCTGTCAGCCGTCTAGGGGTTTTACACTATTCTCATTGAGTATTCTGGGATAAAACGTATGTAAGTTTTATACTATATTGTTCTTGCAGGTAATTATATCATGTTCACTTTTGTTGAAGGTGAGAAAAAAGTCATATAAATTGTGTATGCTAATCGTACTACTTTTTAATGTAAAAGATATAGAAATATATAAAAGTACCGTCCAAAGTTTTCTCCATCTTCAATGGTTTCAGGCAAGCATCTGTTGAGAGTTTCTGGCAAGAACAGGGCCAGAAGTCCTGCCACCACAGATGCCGAACCAAATATAATCAGCGGCAACACATGGCCGATGTCACCGTGTACAATCTTTCCCTGCAAGGAGATACAACGACCTGTTCAGAATATCAACCAGTGTGCTTCTGTGTCTGGCAATGAATGATTATGTGCACTGACGACGCTTTGAAAAGAATTGTGCCTAGTGGAAGGCGACGATAAAGTGTCTACCCCCTAATCCTTCTAAATACACATGAAAATGTACTCTTAATGACGAACTAAACTTGAATCTCTTGAATATAGATGGAGAACTAAACGTCTAAACCTGAATCTCTTATTGATGTAGATGTGAAACTATACGAGGAATTAAACATGAATCTGTTATGACGAAATTGGAACCTGTTGTAAATACATTGCCCTGAATGTAGGTTAGTTATGCACAGGAGCATGTAGACATTTTTTATTCTATAAGGACTATGAATATTGGTGAAAAAGATTTAACTAAAATGTGTCTTGTTTCAACGAGTTCAGTTCATATCATTATATCAAATGAGACAACGAAACTTTCCATTATTGTTTCTGGTACGATTGAGTTCACGGTACGATTTCCATGTAAACTATACATGTGTTCGTGAACCATTACCAAAGAGCAATAATACCAGGTGGTTGTGAAAAAGTAAGTATGTCCTGTTGGTGGTACCCATCCAAAGCACATACAAAGATACAAAGACATTATCCATTGTTCGAGTGAAAGAAATACACAGGAACACATGACACAAATCAAAATAGGGAATTGCTTCGGACATCATTTTGACACAGATCAGTCAAATAATGAAATGTCCTATATACGTTTACCATGTCACATTTTGAAGGCTTTCCTGAGGTCTTCAAAGTTGCAACCTTGATCAAACAACATGTTTGTTTTGTTACAATAAACCTTCATGCTTAGAACTAAATAAGACACAGACGGGGTTGTAGCAGTGGTCCCCTTTACTGCTAACTCAGGTCGGTAAATAAGGGTAGTAATTTGACCGATATCAGATCATCTTCAGGTGTAGGACCTGAAGATGACCTTAAACATCTTGGCAAAATTTCTTCGTTCAGATTTAGCCAGTCCGAGCAGAAATTCTGCATTACGAGCAATAAGAAATATATTATCAGGGAGGGGAGGACATGGGGATGATTGACCATCTTGTCCAAATATCTTAGAGTTGTAAGTGCCCGTAGTGATGTGTTTTACTCCATTCGGGGAAACACACGAGCCCGGATAAGACAAACCTAGACAGAACCGGGATTCCAACCCACGGAAAGTGGTTTAAAGCATGGCTAAGAGATGCACCAATGTCATCTTTGAGACTTACCAAATCTGCTATATAAGGAGCGATCATACCCCCGACACGTGCCCAGGAACCGCTGGCCCCCATGGCTGAATTGCGCACAACTGTGGGGAAGAGCTCCGCCGAGAAGACATAGATTATGGCAAAGCCTCCTGCAGCTCCTAACTTGCCTATCATAGCAAGGAGGACCGTCGCCCACTGATGATCTGCACATTGAGTAGATATTCGTCATTTTCATGATCACCTGGTCCATTTACAAACTACGTGATTCCTTCACAAACTATCTCATTCCAATTGTTTAAAAACCCAATATTTAACGTAATCACAGTCACATCAAGGCGAAGTCAACGATAATCGACTGCACATATTTTTATCCATTCGGTGAGTAAGTGAGTGAGTTTATATTTACGCCGCTTCTAGCACTATTCCAGCAATATCACGGCGGGGGACACCAGCAATGGGCTTCATACATTGTAGCTATGGGGGAATCGAACTGGGGTCGTCGGCGTGACGAGCGAACGCCTTAACCACTAGACTACCCTTGTGTGGAATCGATCCCGGGTATTCAACGTGACGAGCGGACTTTAACCACTCGGCTACCCCACCGCCCCTTATCCAGAAACAGAACTTGCGCCTGAATCGCAAACAGCAAACACTTTTAAAAAATGACTACCTTACCACAAACATATGTCGGCTAAGTTAACGTAAATTATAATTTATTAGAAACACTTTGCTGAATGTTGGTCGAGATTTCACCAACAGTTTATTTGCAGATTTGGCCACATTGCTTTGAGTGACCCTGTTTGAGTGTGTAATCCTGGATGCAGTGGGGTCCGGTCAACTAACCTTTGTCCAGACAGAGGATCGTGATTGTTGTGAGGAGACAGGCCACGCCTCCAAGGATCATGCTGGCACAATGAATAACTCTCCTCCCAACCTTGCTCAGTAGCAGGATAGAAATCGTGTAGGCAGGGAACTCCACCAGCCCAGAGATAAGAAAGTTGACGTACAGGCTTCCTGCTCCCAAGTTATCCGTGTTGAGGGACAGACCGTAGTAGACCATGCTCACTACCATCCTGAAATCCCAATAAGGAATTCTAGCTTCGCTTGCTGTGAATGTATGTGTCCATAAAGTGATGTAACTAGTGGCAACAACTATTACAAACCCAAACCAAAACACCAAAACCAAAGTGAAATAAATAACGATTTCGTCATAACGGGAATTAGCTATATCGCTATTGAGCCCACTAGCTGCTAGTTATGGTGTAACCTTTACCATTACTATTGTTTTTAGTTGTCGCTTTTGTTAGAAATACTTCCAGTGTTCCTCCATCCATATGGAATTCTTCCAGAGGAGCAGGAGTCTCTAGACAGACCTTTCATCACAGAGGATAATGTCTTTCTTTTAAGCCAAACTTAACACTCACCAATTTAGGAATATTATTGCACTCCGGATGAGAAGAGCTGGAGATTTAAACATGTCTGCCATGCTAGCTTTTGTGATGTCTGCATGTGCGACCTCCTTCTGTTTGTCTGGTTTATGTTGAAAACAGTGATCAGGCAGTGTGACCTTGTTCATCTTGGCAGCCGTTGATAGGATTTTTTCAGCATGTTTGTGTCGCCCTTCGCTGATCAGCCACCGAGGGGACTCGGGGATACAACTGCGAATAATTAATAGAAGTGCCAAAATACGAGTATCTGTTGACAAGTGTTCGAATAACGTCAGCGGGTGTAGGTTCTGATGATACCCCACAGAGAACTAATCTCCAAAACATAAAATACATACATATACCCTAATCCAAAATGGATGCGTTCAACTTTCCAATAGTCAACGACATATCCTATCATCGTGCATGCTGTTTTATGCCGATCACAAAAACTCTTGCTGAATATCTATTTCATCAACTACGTGGATGACACTTTCAGATTTCACGCTTTCGTGACAAAAATTATGTCTGATGCAATTCCCTATTTTTGCAAAGTACCTTATTTCGTATGTTTAGGTAAACGATTTATTTCCGTACGAAGTCAATCCTTCTGGGAATATATAAATACTTCCGAAGGCCAGAAAGCAGAACGTCACAATCACCAGATACGTCAACGTTGATGTTTGAAAGAATATACGACGTCGTCCCACAGCACTTGCCATATCCTTTCAATACATTTCTGGCAATAACTTTGTGCACATTTCATGATCGAATACCCCAAACCTCGGTACAGCACCAGCAACATCGGTTTCTGCTGATGGTGTTCGAAACAGACGAAATACTGCACCAAGTGCAAGAATAATTCAGATAACAACAAACCTCAATACCCTTCTGTCCTTTCAATACATTTGAGCCATTTAACTCTATGTACATTCCTTGATCAGATACACCAGCATTGAAACATACCACCGATACATCACCAGCATCCGAAACATTAATGCTGGTTCCTGTTCCTGTTGTCACAATGTACTGCCAAATGCGACATCATCCCATCATTCCATCATATCTGTTCCAAACATATGAGCCACTTACACAACATGACCACGTTAACCAAACTCTAAACGTACCACCAGTACAGCAGGAAGAGAGCCGACGGGGCAGATACTGCTATGTCCAGGTAGCGCCAGTCTCTGATTAGGTAAGCTAGACCGGCCAATATCACAAAGCCCAGAGCAAAGAAATACTCGATGGAGATTCCGATAAGGGCTCTCTTACTGGGACCCACCATCTCTACACCTGAAAAGTAAAGATATGCAAAGTGTCAGTACATATGTGTACACGATATTTCCGATTCGCCCAAATGCATCACAGTGAGACACATTAAATTGCTATAGTGCAAACTTTCCTGGTATCTGTTGTTTTCAACACTGGACCCTTTTTGCATAGAGTCAAGTTTAGTATGACCGTGTTATTTTGCGACTAACGGGATCGGGTGGCCAGGCTCGCTGATCTGGTTGAAGCATGTCATCGTATCCCAATTGCGTACATCGATGCCCATGCTGTTGATCACTGGATTGTCTGGTTCAGACTCGATTATTTACATACCGCCGCCATATAGATGGAATATTGCTGAGTGCGGCGTAAAACTAAACTCACTCACTCACGTCGAGGTTTACCTTGATTATTGATGTTGAATAGGTGTATATCGGGGAACAAGCTATTTACATCTATTTATGTATAATATACATTTATAGATAAAATATTCAGATTTTTGGTTATCAAATGGTTCACTTTTATGAGCACGTAATCGCAAAAAAAGTAGTAAAACCTTAACTCAGCCGATGGTGACACATATAGGTAATATACAAACATACTTACTCATAACAAATGTAATCGGAAACATTCCTCCCATTGAGAATCCATTCACAAACCGTATGACACAGTACACTAGGAAGTTAGGCGCCCACGCGAGGCCAAGACCACCAGCAAGGCTCAGGACGACAGCAAAATACAGCGTCTTTTTCCTTCCTATTCTGAAACAGGTTCCAGGTCAATGAGGAACAGCAATGAACTTCATGTGATCAGGTCTATTCGTGTACCATTCCTGGGGAGTCAGATTTCTTGACGTCTAAAACATACCCTTTAGTTGTAAAAAACAGAATACGTTGGATTGTCAAAGTATATTGATTTTCATGGGAATAATAATAAATGTTTGTTTTTGGTATCTTGTTGGAAGGTGACCTTTATTTAAACAATATTTGTAATGCTGAAATCATTTTTTTAAGAATAAAATATACTTCTAAACAGTTTTTTTGTAGTTGAAGCACAATTTTAACATTTCAAATGGAGAGGAGATTTCATCAAAGGATTGTCCGCGGAGGTGAAAAAGAAATATATATACATGTATACTATAGATTTAAAGTGTTGAGCATTTCTGACCAGAAACATCATACTTGAAGAAAAATAGAATTCCTTTGGCTTTTTCTACTACTGTTAACACGATCTGTGTGGAACCGGGATTAGTGCCGGTTGCCTGGTCTTACTTGTCGGATACAATGCCGAGTATAAATACGCCGAACAGATAGCCTGCAGTGAAGATCATCTGGGCGTGTGATGTGTCCAAGGCCGCTTCACACACCATATCCATCTACACAAAAAATAGTCCGCTACTTTGCATTGAGTATACAACCCGGTTTTCCGCTACCCCTTGTTCATTTACGGAATGATAAATTGACGACTTGGAACGTTTGATAGAGTATTCGAGGTTTTAAACAATTACTTCAAATGTGTTGGTATGAGGGTATAACAGTTAAAACCGGTGTGCTCGTTGTGTAAATCCGCGCAGTCAACGGAAGTAACAATAATAAATTCACCGTCTGTTATTTTATTATTTATCACATAATGCAGATATCTATATGAAATCGGTAACTTTGTTCAACACAATTCAACACAAGCCCAACCCACCCTATTATCAGATAATGAAGGCACAATTGGCCTACTTTTGTTTAGGTTTAAAGAAACATGAACGCAAAAAAATAGTGCTTGGTTAGCCAATCAAATGCCATTATTTCATCCGCTCTATCGAATCCCTTTATCAACAGGAAAGAGAACACGCAAATGCTTGCAGTTTATGTAAGGGAAAAAAGGGTTGCAATGTTTTCCAAAGCGGAGGTTTCTATTCTTTACAAAATTTCTTTTACAGAAAAAAAGTAGGGTGGGACGCTGAATAAATCAATTGTATGAACTATAAAATTGATCGTGACATTATTATATTGAAGTAAAGTAATCATTATGTGATTCGTCTTGAACGTCGCACATTTACTGATGTGCATGTATATAGCTGTGAGTGAACAATTGTGAGTATACTGGAATATATCACCTTTCACTGGAGTCAATTGGACTAGCGTCATTGCACTTTTAATACCATCAGATGTTGCACATATTCTACGTTGGTAAACAATTTTTAATGTTTGCATAAAAAATATATATACACATTTGAATAATTAATCTATAAATGATTGAAAATACAACCTGCAAGTAGGTGCAGATAGTTCTTTGTGTTAAAACCAATTAAGAGTGGCGTGCCTCACGCACTAACGCAAGCACACACGCACTCTCTCACTTTATGAAAAAAGATGAACAACCACATACAACCTTTCGTAACTGTATAGATATACACCTTAATTTCTAATTTGGCCATTGTTAAACCTAAATATAGGCGCATTGTGTCAAGCTTACTCTGCAGAATATAATATTTAACTCATCTGCAAAAAAACATATTGTTCTTATTACGGATGGTGATTTTATTGAATGGAATAACCACTTAAAGGTTGAGCTTGTCAGTGAAGTACGTTCTTCAAAGATAACCTGGTGGCCTCATACCTCTGTTACTGCCGAGTTCTGTATGATGTCTGTAGAGTACACCCACTTGTCACACGCGGCCGTTGTCATGTTTTCAGAGACCACGTAGATATGACATTTGTCATACACTTGGTCATCATCTATGTCGCTGAGCGGTATAGTGAGGTTGATAAGACGAGCATGATAGTCCGACTGAATTTCATAGGTATCGTTGTCGTACCCCGGAATAGCACACCTGGAAAATGAAGCCAGGAATAGGACTTGATTAAAATTATAAAAAGATAACAGCAAAACCTCACCGGATTTCCAACATGGAACTTAGAGCGTGCCGGAACTAGGAGTTTATCATGGAATAAGAAGCGTATCGTTGAACAAAAAGCGTATGATTAAAGATGGAGCTTATTTGGGAACACGGGGGGTATTAGGGAACATGCAGCGTATCATTGAATAAGAAGCGTATCATAAACAACTAAAACTATTAGCGTGTCATTGAATAAAGAGTGTATCATGGAACCAAGGGGAAACCTGGACGTATAAATTATAAATTTAAAAAAGTATAATTATAAAGAAAAGTGTCATTTAAAGCATACCTTTATAAAGAAAAGCGTCGTTTTAAAACACATTCACTTGAACGAAGGAAATTGGGTTTAACGTCGTGCTTGAGAATAGAACGAAGGAACTCACCTTCACAATTTGAACCAATACATTTAAACTAGTGCTTTTACTATAGGCATGTGGCCTCTTCAGTACCCTGAATAAAAGAAGTTGAAATTGAAACTAGTGTTTTAAATCGCGCCTACCTGTGAGCGGGGGTTTTCTGGATAAAAACCGATAAAACCATCCGAATTCCATTCGAAATTGCACTTAGGCATAGCAGAAAATATACCAACTTCTGATATCGCCCAAATTCTCCCAGATGGGACAGAATTTCGTCAAATAGTAGCACCATGTTTACTGAAGCGATTGCACTCACTACCGGAGTTTTATACTCATTTAAGTGAGGGTCACGTGATCCTTGACATTGTTTGACCTTTGAGGATGCTGAACTAATATCAGTTGACTTAACATATTTGCTTAACAAAACATCATGTTTGCCGTTATCCCGGCAACTGACAATAAATATGTTATCGGTGCAAACAGGTCCACTCAAGATCATTTATCTGCATCACAAGCGACGTATATGAGAGTAGGAAATTTCCATTGAAATAAAAACGTGTGCTTGTCATAGTAACCTGCACGTGCAGCGAGGAATGTGTCACGATAAGTGAGCTGAGGTCGAGAACATGTCGCGTGTACCAGGAACACCCGTTATGTTCGCCGGGATTGTTCATGTCGGCAATCACAGTGTGGCATAAGTGACCGGTACTGTGTTAGGAGACCGGCTTCCACTGGTAAACATGGCGTCAAGATTAGGGTGTTTACCGCTATATGATAACCTCGTTAATGCAAGCAAACTGTGTTTGGTGTGGGTTTGCCCACGTTCTACACCATGGACTGATGAAAACCAGCTGGTATTGTTTTTAGAGTGAGTTATACTTCTGATTGATTGGTTGGTTGGTTTGTTGTTTAACGCCACACTCAGCAATATTCCAGCTTACAAAATCGGGTCTGGGCCAGGCAATCCAGTGATCAACAGCATGAACACGTGGCGCCTGTGCACAGAGCGCAGGTCACGAATCAATTGAAGTTAAGCAACGGCGAGTTCGGACAGTTCTTGGATGGGTGACCGTGTTTGACAGCTTGACTCCTGAGAGTTTCTAGGACTTCAGTCCTGCCCCACAACGAAGCACATGCGTTACATGTGGTCTCACCTTAGGCAAGTGAGTTTGTTCAAAATTGCCCCTGTTCACCGAGCAGAAAATGGGTACCAGGTTGTGTAAAGTCATATGACTATAACCTTCTAGCGCCCTAACAGGCAGCTTGGGTTATCCGGGGTAATAATAATCAGGTTGTTAGCGCTTTAAGCATGCTTTGTTGCGTGGAGATTAGCGCATTATAGGACTTCTTCTTCTTATTATTAATTAACATCGATCTACGCAATTGGGATAAGATGACATCTGTCAACCATGACAGCGAGCCTGACCACCCGATCCCGTTAGTCGCCTCTTAGGACAAGCATGGGTTACTGAAGATCACTTCTAACGGGGATCTTCACGGGTTATAGACGGAGGAACACTGGAAGTACATTTAACAAAGCCGATGTTCATTTTGAATACAGTAGTACTGCTGAGCGTTACAACAGAACTTTGTGATTCATGTTATGACCAAAAGACGAAATGACGAGTGAGTGAGTGAGTATAGTTTTACGCGGCTTTTAGCAACATTCCAGCAGTATCACGGCGGGGAACCCCAGACATGGGCTTTACCCATGTGGAGAATGGGTTACTGAAGACCAATTCTAACCCGGATCTTCACAGGTCCGTGAGTTATACAACACTATTACACAAAAATTGCAGATTTTATTTAAGAACCAATGTGTATGATGGTATATGGATTTAGAATATGATTAACCCATTCATAACGTGTTCTGAAATTTGCGCATACACCATGACTTCGTGCAAGCGTTTTTTCATGATTGACATTTACAGCAAAACGTGTTACTGTGTTGTTCCAGGTTTCAGCGTTGACAACAGCAGAATGTTATTCTAGTGATGTTTTAAACTCAATTAAATGGGGTCTTTTCACATCGGCGTTGACACAGTTCACTATTTGTTACGAGGGAGGAGTGCAGAGAAAGGGACAGCCAGGTGTTCGAGAACGGATAGAGACGGCACAGCACAGGTTAATGAATATATAACTTTGTCTGTGAACGTGCTTCGCGAACACCTGGCTGTCCCTTTCTCTGCACTCCTCCCTCGTAACAAACAGTGAACTGTGTCAATATTTTAATGATAGTTAGTTAAACAACTTTATTATTTTTAGGACAAAAAATTCTGCAAAAACCTCACAGAGTGGGTATGATGTTTTGATTATGATCAGCGTTTCATTGAGTATTTTATGTTTATTAGTTTTCGAGTTAGATTGCAATTCATCGGTCCGCGTTTGAGCCAAACGGACTTTCGACCTATGCATTTAACCATCTTCCAAACCAGGACAAGACCATTGCTGAAAAGTTGCTGGTGACCGTGACGGACTCGGAAGAAGAATGTAGAAAGGTACACAGGTTGCAGTGGAGTATGCTCCCTCTGTATCCCACCTCATCGGATGTTAATGTATATTGCGTATTAAATTATATGTGAAGTGCTAAATATTGTATTGTGGAAATTGATTTATAAAGTTAATTTTGAAAAGTGTTCTAAATTTGTTGTGTAATGAATTCTGTTTAATAAATTATTCCTTGGAACACATATCTTGTTGAACAAATATTGCAACAAACCGCGAAAAGTAGTATTTTGTCTTTTTAGCAAATGTTGGCAGCTACTTGATGACACGACCAAAACATACTTCATCGTAAGTGTATTGACACATGTCCACTTAAATTAAAAAACAGAAATTTTATGAGCCGTAGTTCTTAATCCCTTATAACAACATACAAGGTGGTCGTACTCTTCCACGCCACGTCATGCCATAACACGACACTCTAATGTCATTTTAACCATGATGTACTTTGAACTAATTCTGCATGGAAAAATCCACAATGTTTGTTGTCCTTGTGTAAGTGCGTATTGCGTTATCGAAGTTCTATGTGGGCTGACAGATAACGATGAACCAGCTTGTTGTTTGAAAGAGAGCTATACTTGTAAACATTGGATAAGAGTTACGGTGACTTCATGTAGTTATTAATCTGTTCCCCATTCTTTCTGTCTCACGCACTATCAGAGCCACGCCGCGTTTGCGTGGCCTGATCTTACGGAAGCCTTTTAGGGCCACTGCAGGTAAAAATGAAGAAAAATAACATATAAAGTACAAAATGCAGTAAACGGCTTCTGTACTTTTAAGGGCAAATGTGTTCTTCTTTTTTTCTTGAACATTCATGAAAATATGTTGAAATGTCAAGACACTACAGTCAGGATATTGGGGGTTCGCGAAACCCCAAATCGATCTACCCAGTAGCCCAGCTAACACAACGTTTCCGTAACGTTGTGGGAAGGTTCTAGATTGGTAACGTCATGACACAAAGTTGTCTCAGCGTTAGTATTACGTCATTTTATAACGTTATTTGTCTCAACGTAACAACAACGTTGCAAATTTACGCCCCTCACAACGTTATAACGTTTTCTGTAAAGCGCTATTCAGCTAGCAAGCTATTTTCACTGGGAAAACTATTCAACTATTAACGTTAAATAGAATGTTAAGAGTTAAGACAACGCAAAATACGTGAGCATCAAATATCTTATCCTTGTGGACGTAAAAATGACGTATCACAACGTTGTGACAACGTAACTGGGAGTACACAGGATAACGTTGTGACAAGGAAAGCATAACGTGGCAACGTTATGACAACGTGAAATTGTTAGCTCGGAGACCACTGTGTACTTAATAAATGTGGTTAAATGCATACAAATTCTGCTATTGATTTAGTGGTGGTTCAGGTGTTACATCAAATCAGTACGTCCACCAACGTTTTCAACGGTTATCAGAGGTAGTTATTTCAACATTACAACGCTACACTACACAAAGCTGGTGACCTGTAACTTCCTTCAAAGCTCGAAACTGCATAAACTGTCATTGCCTTCCAGATTTCCGGGGGCGGTGGGGTAGCCTAGCGGTTAAAGCGTTCGCTCGTCATGCTGAAGAACCGGGTTCGATTCCCCACATGGGTATAATATGTGAAGCCCATTTCTGGTGTCCTCCGCCGTGATATTGCTGGACTATTGCTAAAAGCGGCGTAAAACTAAACTCAGTCAGTCAGTCAGTCAGTCAGTTACCTCACGAGGTGTCAGCTTGATGAGGGAGAAAAGCCTGAAAAAAGATGAGGATTTCAAACGTTTATATTGCTAAAAGCGGCGTAAAACTAAACTCACTCACTCACTTTAATCGCATGGATTTGTGATTACTTGTATCTGTGTACAGATATTGTTGCGATATGTTCAAAACTGTCCTTGCTCAAGCTGTATGGACGTGTTAAGCTTGTATCACGATTCCTGCTGAAAATCATAACAAAATGCACACATTCAGGCAATTAACGGTTGTAATCCTGAATAATGGCGTGATAAGAATGGTTCAGGATCTGAGTGACTATATCTACGATGGTCTATCATGGGCATTCTCATAATGAACCAACAGTTACTGATACATAATGTACTTTATTACCCACGTGGTCAACGTATGGGTAGTTGCATACTAATATCGTACGTCACACGAGTGTCGTATCGCGCTGACCTGTGTCGTAACGACTTGACCTGAGATTCTAACGATTTGATTGGATAACCGATGACTTCTCAATTAGGTCACATTCTGACGTAACTAATTTTTTCATTCTTAACAAACACGTGAATTCATTCATTCTACAACTTAAATGCATTGTGGGAATGTAAACATTGCGAACGTTGCCGTGTCGCTGTTTAATTATGAGTCGAACTGAGACATTATATCCGTCGAAAAACATAAACGCAATGTTTCCACCAGTGATGTTAGCCGAATGAAGCAACTGCAAACCAAGAAACGGGGTGCTACGGAGTAGTTTACTGTAGGAGGCTGTACGTGGCGATGACAACTGACATGCATCGTGACGTCGGTTACCAAGGCAGTGACGTCATTACAGTGTGACGTCATGCAAATATTGTACTACAGTACAAACTCTTCCGCAACCTCTTTATGAAACCGGTTGCGGTTTGAAACCATAAAAAAAAAAAAAAAAATACGCTATTTTGTCAATTTAATGCATGTAAGACGTGGGTAATAAATAAAATACCACACTCGGTCTCATTACATACGAATTATACGTAACTCGTGACCTTCCTATGGTGTCTGACCTCGCTTTCGCTCGGTCAGATACCATAGGAAGGACACTTGTTTCGTATAATGCGTATGTAATGAGACCTCGTGTAGTATTCTCAATTTATACGGGTACGGTTAAAGACAATTTTTTCAATGTCATTTTTACATACAATTTTTAATAAAGCGAGGATCATGTATA